ACCAATATAATGAACAAACAATTCCACTGTAAAGAGTAAAAACTAATTGTAATATCGATATCATACTTATGGAAAATTCAAAAAATGCACTCATCTCACTGTTTTGACATTGTAAAAAACATCGTAAAACGAGAGTATAAAAAATCGCATGCTAAATGTTAAAAACCAGTCAATAATATAAAGTCACTTAATAAATATAACAGATAATAAAATATTAAAGTAAAGTGTATAAAACGACTGGTTTGTGTCGAAGTCAACGATATAAAATGAGATAGATTAAAGTGTTGTAGGTCAAACAGTTAAACAATTCGTAAAATCTAGAAAGATATTATATATAGATTGATATATAGATATGTAGATATACATATAGATGTAGGATCGAAAGATAAGGGCTATGTAAATATTCAATGTCAGATTGTATGTTTAAGCTATTGTTTTGCTGTTAAATATAAAGCATTTCGAAAACTAGTTTATTATAACATCTTCCGTGGTCTAAAATAATAATGTTGTTCTAATCAAAATCATGTTCTTGTGACTCTTTGATCAGTAATTACAGCTTGACCTGAATTATTCCTACGAATATGATTGCGATGTTTGGTCATTCTTGTCTTGATTTGTCTTCCTGTTTGTCCGACGTATAAAGCATTACAGTCACGACAAAGTATTTTATAGACAACATTACTTAAAGAAATACTTGGAAAATGATTCTTCTGAAATTTAATAAATTTATGCAGTTTAACACTATAAAAAGCATATTTTGCAAAAAGAATTTGTACATATTTAAGTAAGCTGATTAACCTTTAAAAGATGTTTTCTTCAATTTTTGAAAAATAGTTTATAGTCCATAATAGAATATACAATCTTGTTATTAGCGTAACTCAGAATCATGACTTGAACATAACGAGATTATGAGTTTTTGTTTTTTGTTCCTTTTTATATATATTTTGCTTTTTATTCTTTTTAGTTTTGTGTTTTGTATTAAAACTTTTTTGTTTTATTATGAATTAAGACATACTGATTTCCTTTAACACTCACAATTAATGCACAAAAAAATTACTTGTAAATGGTTTAACTTGTTGAACAAAAAATTTTTTGTCACATTTCTTGTTACAATATAAAATGTTATATTATATGTAATATAATACGTTGTAATAGTTATAAATATATCTTATAATGTTTTTTTAAGCATGGGAAAAATGATAAATATCATATTTTTTAAATAAAATATAATAATTGTGTGGAGTAATATATTTTATAGAATCTTTTTATCCTAAACATTTTAATTAATCTATATCACTTTATTTTATTTGTGCATATATGTATGTCATAATATAACATGCGGTGTTACCATATATATTTTTTTAGCAAGACACATACACTTTTTAATTTTAAAAGTGCAAATTCATGAGACGCTCGTTTTAGCGTTAAAGCCATGGCACACAGAAAAACTTAAGCAGTAAGACGTAAGCAGTAAAGAAATCAACTAATTGGATTTTTGCTAATCACGTGACTTCGACTTTGACGTTAGCGTCAAAAAAAGAAGCTGGATTTTCTCAGCTTCAGCGTCAAAGGTTGTTGTTGTTTTGTTCTGAACATTTCAGATATGATTGATGTTAAACTTGATATTGCCGTGTTTTGTGCAAGTCAACTATGATCGCGTAATTTTGACATCAAAAATGAACATCGAGCATCAGCACGAAAAGGCACCTTAAATCATCGTATTCATACCACAATGTCATTGTAAATTAATAAAACAGTATAGTAACGCACTCGATGTACGTAATTTACAATTCTGAGATATTATCATATTTGTTATCCATTGATATATTGTGCATTATTTTCTATATTTTGAGTTGTAGTTTTTCAAATATAAAACTGAAAACTACAACTGTTAGTTGGAATATTTGTATTTATCATAATTTATGGACCTATTTATGGACATATTTTTTTATTACATAGCACAAATTGTTATATTTTCTGCAAATATTTGTTTCATTATAACTGCGTCATTGATGAGCTTTTTGGATGTATTGAAGCATTTTATGTAGTAGCACATTTACATTAATAATACTTATAGCTGTGAAATTTCTCGTTCAAATAATCACATGTTTTACTTTTACAAAGATTGGGTAACAAAGCAATGTACTTGGCTTTCAATTAGTGAGCAGTGTTCCATAACGTCATTAATGATTTCATTATTATAGGAGTAACAGACAATTTAAATAACGTAAATAGTACAAATTCAATTAATTCCATTAATAACTCTTATAACATTCGAGCTTGTTCCAGTGTATTGGACTCATTAGGCTCTACTTTTAATAATACGTTCTTTAAATTTTCAAAAAAATTGAAAAAGTTTAGACACAAGAAATTCGTTAATATTAAAAGGAAGTTTTACTTAAACAATTTAGAATGGAAAAGCGACAGATACTGTTTTCATTTCAACTATAAAAAACGATAATATCAGCCTGTAAAGTTACAAGAATAATGATATACAATAAATGTAATTTTGGTGGTCTTTTCTATATCACTGCATATATGATGGGAATATATAGATGTAGAATATAAATTATAATTATATAATTTATTATTTAGGACACAGACGATTTTTCTTGCAGTTAGCAAAAAATCATATCCAAAGAAAAAATCTTTTCTTTTAAATTTTATGTTGGAAAGTCAATCAGTCATTTGAGGCAACATCTACCAAGAGCCGTACGCAGAGCACTCTTTGATTCTAGCGGCTAGCCAGAGCCTTTTTGGAAGACTCCCTTTATATATAATTTCGTTTTTCTGTTCGACTCTCACTCTCGGGAGAACCGCCTTGTAATAAAGACGTATTTTCGCATTCAACTGCTGTCCTTTTATTATTAAAATAACCCTCACATTTTATAAATGTATTGTTATTTATAATATAAAACTAGATATTTTTAATTATTAGACGTTATATGTTGGATTTAGTCGGTGAAATAAACAAGGATCCCCTTTAGGATCTCCTTAAAAGTTTTTACAAATAAGTCTATGAGCTTTAATATAAGAAAAAAATTTGTAAAGCGTGTGTATGTATGTGTGCGATATTGATATAATAGTAAATATCAACACTACACGCTAAGGTAAATAGATTCCAATTAGTGATAAAGTTGACCTTGTTGTGAAAATTAATAAATTATCGATACACATGTCACAATAAGTACATATGTCACATAAAATAAATGTTATTGAAAAATTTGGATAAGATTTGGATTAAGATTCAAAACAAATTAAATTCTACTTTTACTTTCATAAAAATTCTTAATTTATTTATTATTTCTTTTTTACAAACAATGTTTTTGTACCATTTAGTGACACATAAATTTGAAATTGTCCCAATTTGTGACACATGTTAGTCTATGTCACTGATAAGTGATACGCATATAAAAGTCCTTATTATTGATATGTCGTAGAAGTAGGAACGTGCCTATTAATGATACGCTATACAAGTAAGAACGTGATCCCTATTACTGACACGTCATAAAAATAGGAACGTTTTTTTACTAATTATATAAACATAAATAGATCATAAATAGATAAATAAATTTTTGACTATTAAATATTTTTATTTTTATATTTTTATTGACACAAAAATAAATACAACGTATTAAATATATTATAAGTATAAGTAGTATAAAAGTTAAAAAATAATATAATGTTATAATAAATATTAAAACAAAAAATAAAACTGCAAGTGTTAAAATAATAGATAGATATTTATGATATTAGCATAACATAAAATAAAAAAACGCAAAAAGAAGAGAGCTAAAAAGTAAGTAGAACAAAGATTTCTTTATTTTTTAATCTTTTTCTTCTTACTTTTCATTTGATTTTTTATGTTTTCTTCTTTTTTTAAAACTCTTTTAGTCTTGTTTCCTCTTGTACTCTTTTTTTTCCAAAGCATTTTGTTGACGTTTATTCTTTTTTTCTTTTATTTATGTCATTTTCTGAGATTTTTCAATAGCTTTAGCAGTATAATATGTTTACCATTGAGCGGAAGTGGCTACTGACTGAATTTTTTTCTTACATCGACGCTTTTTCATCAGCTTTTTTTTAAAATTCTGAACAAAATAAAGTAGATCTAAATACTTCTGGCACTCCAGAAGGGATATCATATTCTGTAGTTTGATTATCTGTAAATTATAAGTATAAAGTATAAAGTAAAAAGTAATAGTATAAAGTAAAAAGTAAAGTATAAAATATAAAGTATAAAGTAATTTAAAGTATAATGTATGTAAAGTAAAAAGATTATTTTATGTACATGAGTCTTCTTAAATTTAGATTACATACCAATTTGCCTCGAAGGAGAGGCAAGATGTTTTATTGGAATTTCTTTCCTTAATTAGAGAAGTAGTTCTAAAGGTCAATCACATTTTAATTATAATACATATTGTAAATTTTAAATAAAATTTAAATAAATTATTGATATTATGTGTTCAACGTTCTTAAAAACATTTTCTAGATTTGTAGAGTTTAAAATTATTACCGAATTTTCTTGATTGTTAGTGTTATCTTGAACTAAAATATAGATGTTGCTTCTGCAATATCTGTGATCTGAGTTGCTTCAGTGAGTTGTTTATTTCCTGCATTTGTAACAGGCATTTCAATTGTTTTAAGCGTACACATGGAATTTTCAGTGCTATTTTCGCTGGTCATTAAATCGTCCTCATTCGTAATTATTAACATATCACATATTGTATCACAATTAGACAAATTTTCAGTATAATTTTTAAGTGTATCTATTATACTGTTATTCGTAGTTATTGTTTCACTATCAATATTATAGCAAAGTTTTCTTCTATATGAAACTGCACGATATCTGTCGACACTTCTTAAAAGGAAAAAATAGAAAAGAAAGCATAATAAGTGGATAGAAATTAAAAGTATAATAAAAATAATAGTACAGAAAAAATAGAGAAAATAACGAATAGTCAAAGCAAAAAATGTGAATTAATACTTAATGGAAACAATATAAATTTGAACTAGACCGCGTAAGTGAATATCACAAATAAATTTAGAAAATTAAAAGAAATTACTTAGAAGATTTTAAAGTGGCAACCAAAAAGTATTATTTTCAAGTTCATCGTTCCAAATTTTTTTTTTCTAGCCTTCGTGAAAGTCTTTAATATCTCGGCAGCTATAAATTGTTCGAAAATTTTCAAGTATTTCTGTTGCTCTTCCTTTGAAAATTCTTGAACATTATTAATGTTATTTAGATTTTGTTTCATTAACAAACTGTTATACTGCAAAACATCCACAGAAAATGGGAGAAGTCCACATGCTTGAAATCCATTATTTCTGGAACATTCAAAGTCTGTATGCTTTCATTCAGTAGTGGTCCAAAGTCTTATTTTTTAAACATTTTCCAGATTGTTTTATACGCCATTCTTGCACCGTTTTCTTCCAGGCTATTCAACGAGCAAAAAAATGCTACGTCTAAATGTTGCATTAGATGAGTGGCATTTGGATATAACGCTATTAACTCGATACCATTTTGAGCACAAAACTGCGATAATGGCATGGTTAAATGGGAACAATGACCGTCAACATACAAAATAACAAGACGAGGAATCTTATTTTGTAAAAGCCATGAATAAAATACGTTGCTTATATATTCAAAAAATGATTCTGCTATCATCCAGCCTTTATCAGATTTTTCAATGCCCCAACCATCTGATATACTTTGAAAAATATTGTACAGAATTCGTTGCTAGGGAAACATAATCATAGGAAAAGGCAATTGACCTTTAGCATTTGTCATGAAAAGAACTGTTAAACATTCTTTGTCATCATTTTGTGTAAAATTGTATACAGTTTTATCGCCTTTTTTTAAACTAAAACGTGTTCTTTTGGACAAAGAAAGAATGCTGATTCATCGCAATTAAACACTCTCAATTTATCAATATTGACAAGTTTACATTGTTCTAAATGTTGCTTTACTTCTGCAAACCATTCTTGTAGTAGTCTCTGTTACAGATGTTCGACTATGAGAAAGATTTTGTGAAATTCTGGGTAATTTCTGGATGTCTTAGAAAGGACTCAAACCAATGACGTCCATCTTTGAATGGTGTATCTCGTGCCAAAGTTTTTATCAATAATTGCACGCTATTAATTAATTGACTTTTTGTAATAGGAATAAAACCTCGCTGACTAAGATGCATAATCTATTTTACAACTTCAGTTTCTTCAACTTTATTTAGAAATGGTCGGACCCACGTTTTTTCCCATTGGCAATTTTTCTTTGTATTTATATAAAAGTGTAGTTCTGGGTATATTTATAGTTTTACCAACATTGTTGATAGAGTTTTCCCTGAACGGACAAGAAAGAGCTCTTTCAAGAACTGTCTGAATATTTTTTCCTCTTTTGACTTGTCATACACGACTAAATAAAATTGTTTAAAATAATTTTACGAGTATATTACTTAAATAAAGAGTGACCCTAAAAACAGACCAAAAATGCCCTGTATTCTCGCCCTCGATTCCGGACTTTATTTCCCAAAGCCACCTTTATTATTCACCCCCGGTCCAAAAAAATACTTTCTAATAATTATTTCACTCCTAAGCGTTACTTTAAATAAAAGTTCTTATTTACAAATCAAAAGTTGACCTCCAAATGACCTTCAGGAGTGTCTTCAAGGTCACAGTAAAGATTATCATTTTGTGTACCCTTTCACATTCTGCAACTTTTGTCTGAAACATTTTTCTCCAAAATGCTTAAGCTATTCGCATGCAAAGATCCGTTTTGAGAAACACAGTATAAAATGATAATTTTGAGGCTTTATAACTTGGCAACAAAGAGTAGACTCAATTTTAAAGTTTCAGAAGATTAGTGTCTCATGGTTTACTATCATTTATCACCAAAATAAAGTCCAGAATCGAGCGTGAGAATACAGGGCATTTTTGGGGTCACTCTTTGTAATAGAAAATAGTAAATAATCATTGAAATATCACAAATTGATAAAAATCATAAGTGTCTTAATGCACATTTGTTCTTTTCTTTAAAGTTCTCCTTCGGATGAAGGTGAACTTCAATGTTTCCTTTTGACGGATATTCAAATACCGTTTGACACACAATCTTTAGCACACGCGCTATCTGAATACTCACTTGCACTCACTTGTGACAATTAAGTTAGGTTAGGAACTCTACTGGCTATCACAAATTAGTACAGAATCATGAGTGTCCCTATTACTGACCTGTACCGGGATTCTCAAACGCTTATCGACAATTGTCGGTATCATTGCGCAGCTTTTCTGACATATAAGCTATATAAGAAAGGCTACGCAACGATACTGACAATCGTCGTTAAGCGTTTGAGAATTCCGGTACAGTAATAAAGACAAACAAATACTTTAATACCAATTAGCGACACATGTATTAATTATAAAAATATGTATTTTGTTATTTTTATTTTTGTTACGTTTTCAATTTACTCACAATATTCCTTAATATATCTACTTAACTTTGGGTGATTACTTTTTATTTCTTTTTAGCTTAACCTTTAAACCACTATATCGGTCTCACAGACCGCTATTGAAACGTTACTTGTCAACCAATTTCTTATTTGTCACCATTTAAATATATTTTATTTCTATTATATACGAGATTTTTTTGTTAATCATCACATTAAAACATAGTTTTCTTTTTCTCCATCACAAATATTCTGAAAACATACATTTTTATTATAAATAACTTATAAAATTAGCGAGAGCATAATAGCGGTCTGTCAGA